ATATTTATGTTTGTGGTTGTAATGTGACAAAATATGGAAAAGTTCAAGGGGTATGAATACTTTTGCAAACCACTGTATATAAAAAACCATAGCAGCACAAACATCAAGTTCAAGAGCACAAACCCACACAAACGAAGCACTAACCASTCAGAATATTTGCCTTTTTTTCTTTGGTTCGTTTTGTGGGAGGGGTTGTTTCACTCCACAGAATTAATGTTTTTTCTCTGATTGCTACATTTATCACCAGATTTAACGCATGATCTCCTTCCTGCACACGCTCCCTCCTCTGCGCGTCGCACTGGAGCGGTCGCTGTATTAATCGAGCTGCAAAGGAACAGTTGCGAACTGCACAGCGCAGCGCAGCGGAGTCGCATGTTGTGTAAATCCCTCTCCATTCAAAACAATCACCAAGAGCTACATCTTCATCTAAAACTGTGGCACAAATGGTGGCAGGTCTGTGGATTCAACCATGTGAGGCCTTTAATGGTCTGTATGACGTTCACACGATAGAGATCTTTTTTTCTTCTGTACGTTTTTCAGCACGTTTCTCGTTCCACAATTTTTGTGCTATTTATACTTTTTTAGCTATTTCAACTTTTAATCCACTTTTTTCCATTGACTTGGAATGGGGCTATTTTCAACAATCTTAAAATCCTTCAAATACTTTCTAAATCTTTACAAAAACTTACACAATTGGTAATTTTTTGCTAGCTTTAGCTGTTTTCTGCTATTTCAGCTATAGTTGTGCTTCTTTTTGCTATTCTTCTGCCTTTTTTCTGATTTTTTTATTTGTGCTTTTTCTGCTAATTTGTACTATTTATGCTTCTTACAGTTACTTTCTTCCATATTCAGCTATTTGCTACAAATGTAGCTAAATTTTCACTGTTATTAGCCAAAGTTAGCTTTCTAAGCTAATTACACATTTTTTGGAGCTAATTCAACTTTATTCTGCTAAATTCACCAAACCTGTGCTCCTTATACATTCTTATTCTAGTTAAAACCTATCCAGCTACTTTTAGCTGTTTTACTGAAAACTTCGGCTGTTTTACATATTTTACTTCAAATGATCACATTTTAGTATTTTAGAATTTTTTTCATCCATTTCACCATCTGGGTGCTACTCTCAACTTGAGTCTGCTACCTTTAGCTTTTTTATGCTAATTTTAGCTTTTTGCTGCTATATTAGCCAAAATTGTACTTCTTTCTGCTATTCTTATGCCTTTTTCTGCTTTATTTTACTTTTTACTGCTAATTGGTGTTATTTGTGCTTCTTACAGTTGCTTTCTGCAATATTCAGCTATTTGCTGCAATTTCAGCTAAATTTTAGCTGTTTTTAGCCAAAGTTAGTTCAAATTACTTGAATTTGGCCAATTTTTTTGATATAATGAGCTATAAATCAATAAACAGGTACCTGAGACTTAGCTCTATCATAAATAGCAGCCAAAAAAATCCAAGATGGCCACCAAAGCTAGTTTTAAAGTCCTTTTACTCAGCCAGTGTTTTAGATATTGACATGAAAACTTAAGTACTG